CCTCTGACACGCGTGTCATAGGTTCGCCATCACTGGGTTAGGGGCAAAAAGGCAGGCAGGCAGGCAAGCAGTTGAGAGCCAGCAGTCCCAGATTGTGTGGGATCAAGCATAAACTGGCAGTCCAACATCCCCTGAGGGGTCCCAGATTGGAGAGGGTGCAGGCTGGGCTGAGGGACACACTCTCCATGCACAAATTTCGTGCACCGGGCTCTAGTAATGGAATAAACATAGAAATCAACTACAGTAAAAAGACTCAAAAACATTCAAACACATGGAGGCTAAATAGCATGCTATTAAACAATGAGTGGATTGCCAATGAGATCAAGAAAGAAATCAAGGGCCCTGGGTTTGTTTCCAGTCAAGGACACATACCTCAGTTATAAGTTCGATCGCTGGCCCTGCTCGGGGTATATGTGGGAGGCAGCCAATCGATGTGTCTATCTCACATCAATGTTTTGCTCTCTCTGTCACTCCCCATCCATTCGACTCTCTCTAACAAATCAATGGAAAAATATCCTTGTGTGAGGAATAAAACAAACAAACAAACAAACAAAAACAAAAGAAAAACAACTTCTTGGAAACAAATGAAAACGAAAACTCAACCCCAAATCTATGGGACACAATGAAAGCAATCCTAAGAGGGCAGTTCATAGGACTACAGGCCTAACTCAAAATAACAAGAAAAATTTAATAATAAACTATTTAACCCTACAACTTAAAGAATTAGAAAGAGAATAACAAGAAAAGCCCAGAATAAGTAGAAGGAAGGAAATAATAAAGATTAGAGCAGAAATAAATGACATGGAGGCTAAAATAATAACAACAACAACAACAACAATAATAATAATAATAATAAATAAACCAATGAAACTAAGAGTTGGTTCTTTGAAAATATAAACAAGATTGATGAACCATTAGCCAGATTCAGTAAGAAACAAAGAGAGAGGACCCAAATAAATAAAATCAGAAACAAAAGTGGTGAGGTAACTGACACCAGAGAAATACAAAGGATTATAAGAAAATACTATGAACAACTATATGCCAACAAACTGGACAACCTGGGTGAAATGGACAAATTCCTAAAAAAAAAATCCTATCTTCCAAAACGAAATCAGGAAGAATCAGAAACCTGAATAGGCCAACAACAACTGATGAAATTGAAGCAGTAATAAATAAATAAACAAACAAACAAACAAACTCACAATAAACAAAAACCCTGGTCCCTACAGCTTTGCAGGGGAGTTTTAACAAACGTTCAAAAAACAATTAACACCTATCCTCCTCAGACTATTCCAAGAAATCCAAAAGGAAGAAACATTTCCAAGTTCTTTTTATGAAGGCAACATTATCCTAATTCCAAAACCAGACAAAGACACTACAAAGAAAGAGAATTACAGGCCAATATCCCTGATGAACATAGATGCTAAAATCCTCAACAAAATATTAGCAAATCTTATCCAGCAATATATTAAAAAGATCATACACCATGACCAACTGGGATTTATTCCAGGGATGCAAGGCTGGTACAATATTCGCAAATCAATAAATGTGATACATCACATAAACATACTAAAAGACAGAAATTACATGATCATATCAATAGACACAGAAAAAGCATTCAATAAAATCCAACACCCATTTTTGATAAAACTTCTCAGCAAAGTGGGAATAGAAGAATCATATCTCAACATAATAAAGCCATATATGACAAACCAACAGCCAATGTCATACTCAATGGGCAAAAACTAAAACCATTTCCCCTAAGAACAAGAATAAGACAGGGATGTCTGCTTTTACCACTCTTTTTCAACATAGTGCTGGAAGTCTTAGCCACAGCGATCAGACAAGAAGAAGAAATAAAAGGCATCCAAATTGGAAGGGAAGAAGTAAAACTCTCATTATTCACAGATGACATAATTTTGTACATAGAAAACCCTAAAGACTCTGCCAAAAAAAAACCACTATTAGATTTAATAAATAAATTTGGCAATGCAGCAGGATACAAAATTAACACCCAGAATTCCATGCCATTTTTACACACCAATAATGAATTTTCAGAAGGAGAAACTAAGCAAACAATCCCATTTACTTTTGCAACAACAACAAAAAATTACCTAGAAATAAACGTAGCCAATAAGTTTATTGGTACTCCAAAAACTAAGGACCTTTTAAAAAGAGGTAGAAGATATAAACAAGTAGAAGAATATGCTATGTTCATGGATTTGTAGACTTAACATCATTAAAATGTTCATAGTACCTAAAGCAATCTATAGATTCAATGCAATCCCTATTAAAATACCAATGGCATATTTCACAGATCTAGAACAAATACTCCAAAAATTTATATGGAACTCAAAAAGACCTGGAATAGCTGCAGAAATCTTGATAAAGAAGAACAAAGTTGAAGGAATCACAATACCAGATCAAGTTATCCTACAAAGCCACTGTAATCAAAACAGCCTGGTACTGACACAAGAACAGGCATATAGATCAATATGAAATAGAACAGACATCCCAGAGATCAACCCAAGACATTACACTCAATTAACATTTGACAAAGAAGGCAAGAGCATACAATGGAGTAAATACAGTCTCTTCAATAAATGGTGTTGGAGGAAATTGGACAGATACATGCAAAAAATGAAACTAGACCACCAACTTGCAACATACACAAAAATAAACTCAAAATGGATAAAAGGCTTAAATGTAGGTCATGAAACCATAAAAATCTTGGAAGAAATCATAGGCAGCAAAATCTCAGACATCTTCCCTAGCAGTATGTTTACGGATACATCTCCTAGGGCAAGGGAAACTAAGGAGAAAATAAACAAATGGGGCTACATCAAAATAAAAAGCTTCTGAACAGCAAAAGAAACCATCAACAAAAATGAAAAGGGCGCCCATTGTATGGGAGAATATATTTGACAATGATACATCTAATAAAGGGTTAATTTTAAAAATATATAAAAAACTCATATAACTTAACAAAAGACAAGTGATCCAATTAAAAAATGGGCAAAGTTCCTAAATAGATACTTCTCCAAAGCAGACATACAGATGGCCAAGAGATATTTTTAAAAATGCCCAGTCACTGATCATCAGATAGATGCAAATTAAAAGGACAATGAGGTACCACCTCATACCTGTCAGAATGGCTACCATCAACAAATTAACAAATAAGATAGAGAGGATGTAGAGAAAAGGGAACCCTAGAGAAAAGGGAATGCAGACTGGTGTAGCCATTATGGAAAACAGGACTGAGTTTCCTAAAAAAAAATTACATAGAGTACTGCCATTTGACCCTGTGACCTCACTTCTAGGAATGTATCCCAAGAAACCCAAAACACCAATCACAAAGAATGTCTGCACCCCTATGTTCATAGCAGCACAATTTACAATAGCTAAGATCTGGAAAAAGCCCAACTGCTCATCAGTAGATGAGTGGATATAAAAGCTGTGGTACATTTACACCACGGAATACTATGCAGATGTAAAAAAGAAGGATCTCTTACCCTTTGAGACAGCATGGAGGGACCTGGAGAGTATTATGCTAAGTGAAATAAGCCAGTCAGAGAAAGACAAGTATCACATGATCTCATTCATATGTGCAATCTAAAGAACATAATAAGCTGTTGAACAAAATAAATCCAGAGATATCGAACAATGGAACAGACTGTGGAATGTCAAAGGAACTGAGGGGAAGGACGGGTGGGTGGGAAGAGATCAACCAAAGAATTTGTATGCATATATGCATAACCCATGGACACAGACAATAAAGTGATGAAGGTCTGGGGCAGGGGGTGGAGGTGGGTTAGAAGAAGTCAATGGGGGAAAATGGGGGGGAATATGTAACACTTTCAACAATAAAATTTTTTTTTAAATCCAAGAAATGGCCACATCAATGACTGTGGCATGAAGCATGGACCTCAGCAGTGTCCTCTGTGTAGTCTGGGACCACTTCAATAGCATCACCAGGGGCTGAGGCAGAATATCTGCATCCCAGCCCATGGATGTAGGTAGGTGTCTTACACACTCATATTTGAGAACCACTGCTAGGAAAGGTTTTAGCTTTAACCAATAGGCACTAACTGCAATAGAGAAAAGGAAATTTCCTTGCTGAAAATTTCAGAGAAAGCTTTAAATATACCTATCTCTTAATAAAATTTTGGAAAGTTAAAATTTTGATTTTGCTCAAGTTTACCTAATTTGAAAACTAAAATTTTATTCAGAAAAAAATTAATAATATTAGGTCTAATTTATACAGACCAAGCTGGTTATGAAATACTTTGATTATTGAATACTTTTCAAAGTTGTTATTTTTCAGAGTGTCCTTTAAAAACATAAATGTATGTGATACTGCAGTTAATTATGGTTTGTTAAATAGTTGAGATAATGTGATCTCATAATTAAGATTCAAACAAACTTAAAATAGAAGTCTCATTTCTACATTGTTTGCTGGGTAATCTTGGCCAAGTCAATCTTTCTATACAACTTCTTATTACATCTCTGGGGTGACTCAAGTGGTATAGGATATACATATCAAATGTTTGGCACCGAGTAGAATCCTATAACTGCTACATGTTATTATATCTTACTTTTGTTTCTTAAATTATCCTAGTCAAAGGATATTGCAATTACTTTTCAAAATACATAACCTCATAGATTCATAACTGTGAAGAAATAGTACTATAGAAATGATAATAAAGAAATAAAGCAACAGAAATATGAAATGTTAGAGAATTATATGGTAAAACTTGTCTTAATGTTGTGCTGCTTTATAACTTCACCACATATTTAAGTCAGGTTTACATTAACTTATAAAAAGTGCTAACCAGAAAGCATTTGTTCAAGATTACTTCCCTGAAGTACTAGCATCATAAAAGTGAGGCTGCATCTCTTCCCCACGCTCCAAATTGCAACTTTCAAGATACTACCCATATACATAAATAAAGGTACATCATAAGGTATTTTATGTCTCAAGCGCAAAATGATGTCCTTACATGGTGGTCCTCCATGTTCTTTAAGAGCCTGGGATCATCAAAGTCACATGACTCACTAGGCGGACAAGACATCCGGCTGTGAAAGAGAATAGAAAATATTTATTCAGATCAAAAGTTCCTTTAAGATAATTCAAAGGCAGTAAGACTCTGTCTTCAAGAAGAACCACACCTAAAAAGCCCACAGATCTATATTAAACTCTTAAAGATTTAGAATACTATATATTATTTCAAACCTCAACAGGAAATTTTTAATACTATAAAATACTTTACATTTTTATAACATTTTATAAACAGCAACATAGTTACAAGGAGAAGAAACAGGACAAAAATCAACATCTGACTGTCATTTTAGTTGGTCTCTGTATAACTTCTACTAAGAAAAACTTGCAAGAACTGCCTGCTCAACCTAGGAAAAATGGAGGAATTATTGCATTGTATCTATGCAACCACTTATGGCAAGGGCTCGGATATAGGAAAAAGAAGGAGGCAGATGATTATGAGAAAAGAAACCTAATATTATGGCTGTGTCCTAGAACACTGAAACAGATGTGCTATGCCAATTATATTCATGCATCTCCACTCCTTCAAGACAAAGACAATGGAAGAAGAGACAACAGCACAGTTGATGTCAGTCTGAACTCTGTATCAGAATTTAATACTGCAGAGAAAACAGAAACCAATAGCCTGCAAAGAGAAGCACCTAAAATGCAAGCTGATGCCCCCAGCAAAACTGTGTGAAAGCTGAGGAAACGGCAGCAAGAGGTCCCTATGAGATAGATAAAGGGAAGGTGGAAACAGAGCAGGTTCCAAATCCACCTAAGCAAGGTTCATCCTCTAAGAACTCTCCCCCAGCCCATGTAGCCAGGCAAGCTAAACCTTCTGCATCTAGAAATAAATGGGAGGTTTATCCTTTGGAGAGGTTAAATTAGAGTAGCCCTGAACATATATGCACCCTATGTTCATAGCAGCAAAATTTACAATAGCTAAGTTTTGGAAACAGCCTAAGTGTCCATCAGCAGATGAGTGGATTAAAAACCTGTGGTACATCTACACAATGGAATACTATGCTGCTATAAACAAGAAAGAATTCTTACCATTTGCAACAGCATGGATAGGCCTGGAGAGCATTATGCTAAGTGAAATAAGTCAGTTGGAGAAAGATAAATATCACATGATCTCACTCATTTGTGGAATATAATGAATAACATAAACTGATGAACAAATATAGATCCAGAGACAGAGAAACATCGAACAGACCATCAAACTTCAGAGGGAAGGAAGGGGAGGGGGTGTAAGAGATTAACCAAAGGACTTACATGCATGCATATAAGCATAACCAATGGACACAGACACTAAGGGATGAGGGCATATGCTGGGAGGTGGGGGTGGCCAGAGAGAGGTCAATGGGGGAAAAAGGAGACATATGTAATACTATATGTAATGCTAAACAATAAAGAATCTTAAAAAAAATTAACAGTAGCCCTGGACCCAGGGACACTGGACACACAGACAAGTAGGGTAGGGCATCCTCTCAAAACAGGAGTCTCAAGTGAAATCCGACATACAGTGAAAGATACAATCACCAACCCTCTGCTTCCACTCAGCTCCCATAACAACTGCAGCCACATTTACAGCCCTTGGCAAAAACGAAAGTATTCTTCTCATGAGAAGAAGATTGATCAGCTCATAAGAAAGACCCACACACTGACAACCAGGGATCCTCCAAGAAAATAATAGGTCCTGACTGATCATCCCACAGGGAAGCTAGTTAGTCATCAACCACACTGTTCCCGCCTCCCCACACGTATACACACAGCCCTACTGATCAGTTCTGTTAGTATATAAATCTTAAAACATGAGCAAACAACATCACTAGTCCAAGGGAAACAAAAAAGAGATACTACTTTATATTCATTGGAATGTTTTTTTTTAATTATTTCATTCATTAGCAAGTGGTTCAAAGATGTAGAAAAATTGTGCATTACTGGCAGGAGTGTAAAATGGGAGAGCTACTATAAAACACAGTTTGATGGTTCCTCAAAAAGTTTAATATAGAATAAGCACATGACCCAGCAATCCCACTTTTATGTACATACCCAAAATAATTGAAAGCAGAGATCCACTGTGTACCAATGTTCATAACAGCATTATTAACATCAGCCAAAAGGTGAAAATACCCCAAATGCCCATCAACAGATAAATGGATAAACAAAATATGGTATATACATGCCAAGAAATATTATTCAGCCTTTAAAAGGAATAAAATTCTAATACCTGCTATATAACATGTATACTACAACCTTGAAGACATTATCCTAAGAGGTGGAAAGTGAGTGGGAAGTATTGGACCAAGGGCTCACTATTTTTTGTTAAAGCCTAGTAGTATCACTGGACTTTGAAAATCATATTCACAATTAAATTTTATTCTGGTTTTCTCTTGAAATAACAAACATGCAACTTTTAATTACTAACTATTCAGGTAAGACATGAAAATATAGAATTGTTCCATAACATTTCCCACTAAAGGATCAAGACATGCTAGAATATACTTACCAGAAATCATCTGAGGATTGCTCTCTTATCAGTTCTGGAAAATGACTTCCAGAGAGAGAAAAAAAAACAGAGTGATCACCAAACTATGAGCAAATGACAGGCATTTTCACATAGAACATTCTCCAAAACAGATCATATATTAGGCCACAAAACAAGTCTTAATAAATTTAAGACTGAAATCATATCAAGCATTTTTAACAGAGAACTCAATTACAAGAAGAAAACTGGAAAAATCAGAAATATGAGAAGATAAAACAACATACTTCTGAATAACCAAAGGTTCAAAACGAAATCAATAGAAAAAAATTAAAAATACCTTGAGACAAAATAATATGAAAACATGTCAAAACTTATGGTATGCAGCCAAAAGTGGTTCTAAGAGGAAAATTCATGGGGATAAATGGCCACACATCAAGAAATAAGAAAACTTTTAAACAACCTAACTTTAGTCATCAAAGAACTAGAAAAAGAACAAATAAACCCCAAAGTTAGTAGAAGAAATAACAAAGACCAGGAAAGAAATAAATGAAAGACTAAAAAGACAAAAGAAAAGATCAATAAAACTAAGAGCTGGTTCAATTAAAAGAATGGGCAAATCTTTCACTAGATTCACACACACACACACACACACAAAGGGAGATCTCAAAATCAGAAATGAAAGAGATATTATGATTGATAACATACAATCACAAAGGATCAAAAGAGACTACTATGTACAGCTATACACCAACAAATTGTATAATCTATAAAAAATTGATAAAACAATCTACCAAGACTGAATCATGAAGAAATAGAACATCTGAACAGATCCATTACTATTAAGGAGATTAAATTTTAAAAAAAAACCTTCCAACAAACAAAATTCCAGACCAGACAGCTTCACTGGTGAATTCTCCCAAACACTCAAAGAAAAATTAATACCAATCATTCTCAAATTCTTCCATAAATATAAAAGAAGAAAACATTTCCAAATTCATTTTCTGTTGCTAGCATTACCCAGATACCAAAACCAGACAAGGACACCACAAGAAAAGAAAATATGACCACTATCCCTAATGAACATAGATCCTCAACAAAAATCCTTAACAAAACAGTCACAAATCAAATTCAATAATACATTAAAAGGGTCAAACACCATAATCAAGTAAACTTTATTCCAGGGATGAAGATGATTCAACATATGCAAATCGATCAATGGGATACATTACAGAAAAAAAAAATGAAGAATAAAAAATCATATGAACATCTCAATAAGTGCAGAAAACACATTTGACAAAATTCAATATCCACTGATGATTAAAAATGCTCAAGAAGTGGGTGCAGAGGGAACATACCTCAACATAATAAAGGCCACATGTGATTAAGTCCATATCTAATATCATACTCAATAGTAAAAACTGAAAGCCTTTTTTCCTAAGAGCAGGAACAAGTCAGGATGTCCATTCTTACCACTTTTATTCAACATTGCCAGGCAAGAAAAATAAATAAAAGGCATCCAAATGAGAAAGAAGAAGTAAAACTCTATTTGCAGATGACATCATAAGAACTGAATACCCTAAAGACTCCACCAAAAACACTATGAGAAATAATCAAAATTAGTAAAGTTGCAGGACACAAATCAAACACAAAAATCTGTTGCATTTATATACATTAATAATGAACTATCAGAAAGATATATTAAGAAAACATCACTCCCTGGCTGGTGTGGCTCAGTTAGTTGGGGCTTCATCCTGTACACCAAAAGGTTGTGGGTTCGATTCCTGGCCAGGGCACATACTTACGTTGAAGGTTTGATCCGTGGGTCAAGGTGCATATGGGAGGCAAACAGTAGAAGTTTCTCTCTCACATCCATGGTTTTCTCTTTCTCTCTCCATTCCCCTCTCTCCAAAATCATTTTTTAAAACATATCCTTGGGTGAGTATTTAAAATTTTTTAAAAGAAAGCATCACATTTACAATTGTATCAAAAAATACCTAAAACTATAATATATTAATGAAAGAAACTGAAGAAGGCACAAATAAATAGAAAGATAGTTCGTGCTTATGGATAAAAAGAATGTATAATGTCCATATTACCTGAAGAAATCTACAGATTCAATACAATCTCTACCAAAATGTCAATGGTATTTTTCATAGAAATAGAACAAACAATCCTAATATGTATGCGACTACAAAATAACCAAATTGCCAAAGCAATCTTGAGAAAGAAGAACAAAACCGGAGGCATCATGCTCTCTGATTTCAAACTATATTACAAAGCTATAGTGATTAAAGCAGTATGGTGTTGACATAAAAACAGATCAATGGAATAGAATAGAGAGCCCAGAAATACACCCACACATTTATGGTTAACTAATTTATTACAAAGGAGCCAAAAATAAACAATAGGGAAAGAACAGTCTCTTCAATAAGTGATTTTGGTAAACTTGAGAGCCACATGCAAAATAATAAAACTGGATCTTCTATCTTACACCATACACAAAAATTAATGGATTAAAGACTTGAACATAATACTTTAACTATAAAACTCCTAGAAAAAAAATAAGTGGTAACCTTAGTTCCTTGACATTGATCTTGGGAAGGATTTTTTGGGTTTGGCACTAAAAGCTTATACATATCTTTTCAAACTCTCAGAAAGTCAAAGTATTTGACTAAGCAGATAAAAATAAACTTATTTTGTTGGGAGAAAACAAATCAATTTTTCAATAAGTAATAAACACACTTACCCATAGGTTACTCCAGCAATGCTGCATTTCTTGAAGTTCATAATATTGCATGTAAGAGTTCCAGTTTTGTCAGAAAACAGGTATTTAACCTAAATCAAAGAATAAGAGAAACATACATACATCAATAATATAATAAGATGCAAAAACCAATAAATAAAGTCTTTAGTCTATGTTTTTCAAAATCTGTATAAATTTTCAAAGGTAAATTTCCTTCAATCAAGCAAAATATATTTTAGAATTGCATAGATATTATATATAACAATTATAATTAAATATTATTAAATTAATATATTCTAATGCTTAGACTACTTAAAAACGTTTTTCAATAGCTACTTATAGAGTCTAATTGTGTGGAAATGCACAAAGGAGACTCAGTAACAGCCCTGGAGCCATTATCCTATATAATAATAAGCCAGAGACCATAACAGCATCATGACCATAACGACCATTAGATCAGAACCACCATGGCCCCTTGTCGGGCTGACCCCATCCCCCAGCAAGCAGTTAGGGGTGATCAGGCAGGCAGGCAGAGTGGTTAGGGGTGATGAGGCAGGCAGGGCAGCGGTTAGGGGGCAGATGGCCCCTCGCAGGGCTGGCCCTGCCCCCCAGCAAGCAGTTAGGGGTGATCAGGTAGGTAGGCAAGTGGTCAGGGGTGATCTGGAAGGCAGGCAGAGGCAGTTAGTGGTGATCAGGCAGGCAGGCGGAGAAGTTAGGGGCAATCAGGCAAGCAGGTAGAGTAGTTAGGGGTGATCAGGCAGGCAGGGGAGCAGTTAGGGGCATCAGGCAGGCAGGCAGAGGGGTTAGGGGCGATGAGGCAGGCAAGCAGGTGAACGGTTAGGAGCCAGAGGTCCCAGATTGGAGACGGTGCAGGCCAGGCTGAGGGACACCCACCCCTGCACGAATTTCGTGCACCGGGCCTCTAGGAAATCTATAAGCATTTAAGTTCTGCCATGAGGCATCTCAAAGACACATGTCATTTTTCAAGATATTCACATGATCTCATACAGTATTCTCTCCTAATGTCCAATATGTCAAGACAAGAAGCTCAGACTTTGGCAACCTTGAAATATCTCTTTTTAAGACTCCGTCTCCTAGCTGGGTTAAGAAGGCATATCCTGAGCAGCACAGAACAAACATCACACTTCTCAGTCACTGTCACCATTAAGATTACATGAAGGCAGCATGGAACTGCTATAGATTACATAACTTTCCAAGATACAAAATTTTAGAGATTTAATGCATTAAACTCTCAATATACAAAGGTAAAAAGAAACTTCTGGAGGAGGCCAACAAGCCAACCATTTTCACATAAGTGCATAAAAAGAGGTGAACTCCCAATGTACATGTGCTGTGAGAACTATGTCCTCCCAGAGAAGAGAGAAAAGAACTCAGAAGGAGATAGTTCAGGTTCTGAATAATAATTAGTTGGTGGACTCTTGAAAAAGCAACTTCATCCTTCTTCGGCTCAGTTTCCACATCTATGAAAAAAAGTATTTGGCCAGAAGATATTTAACATCATTCTATGGGTAATATTCTGGGACATTATATTATGGATTGGTGAGGGGGGAGTAACTAACAGTATTGTCTCCAGTTTCTCAGTGGTTTTCCTTTTTTTAAATTAATGTTTAGGGAGGCAGGGGGAGAGAGAGAGGTGGGGGGAGGGAGAGATTTGTTGTTCCAATTATTTATGTACACATTGGTTGTTTCTTGTATATGCCCTGACCAGGGATAGAACCCACAACCCTGGCATACCAGGGCAATGCTCAACCAACTGAGCTACCCCGCCAGGGCCCTTATGTGTTTTCTAAAGAGTGTTCATAACTGTTGCTGGATGCTGGATGTACTCCAGGGACCCCAAAGGGAAGGCATGTGTTTCTGTTTTATAAAAGAGGATTAATAACATGAATTGTACTCTGTACTTTTTCTTAATTATACAATATTGTTATTTTTAAAGCAATTAAAAGGCATTTAAGTAAAGAAACATTTTTTTAAGAAAGATGATTAATGCTCCTAAAGAAATATAAAATTACATAGAAATAGAAAATTAGTATACTATAGGTAATTAATACTTTATAAATAAGTTTTTATATGAATTTTATATGCAGTAAGTCAAGGTATAAAAATTCCAGTAGAATCAGTCTTCTAATAAAGTGTTTCTGCCTTGTTTTTAAAGATTAAATTAAAATATTAAAAAATGAAAAATTTATAATAAGAAATTATCAAGATTTGCTATCACGCTGCCTACTGAATTTTAACTTATAAGTTCCAACTCAAAACTACTTCACCATGCAATTCCACTTGGGTATTTATCTGAAAAAATCCAAAACTAACTCAAAAACATATCTGCACCCCAATGTTCATGCAGCATTATTTACAATAGCCAAGATATGGAAGCAACCTAAGTGTCCATCAATAGACAAATGGATAAAGAATTGGTACATAGTGGGGGGGGGGGGGGCAAAGGGAGGATAAGGACACATATGCAATACCTTCATCAATAAAGGGAAAAAAAGAAGGCCAGGCATTTAAAGACTGGTCATAATTTAATTCCTGAGGCTAGAACAAAGTAATCAAATTATTTTTAAAAATTATTTTAAGAAAATCTGATTTTATCTGAATGTAAGGTAATATAAAATATAGAGATATGTTACCTTCATATGCAGACATTTTAATTAGTGATGAATCTATTCATGAATCTAATTAATATGTATAACACAATTATATCTGAGTACTATAGTAATAAAACAAATGAAATATAGTAATCTGACTTAAAGACTTGTACCTAGAGAAAGGTATATATTTTAAATAAATTTCCTTTTATAAAATAAAAGAAGTGGTACATATATACATTGGAATATTATTCAGCCATAAAAAATAATATCTTATAATTTATCTTGCCATTTGTGACAGCATGGATGGACCTAGGGGCTATTATGCTAAGTGAAATTAGTCAGACAGAGAAAGAAAAACAAACACCATATGATTTCACTTACATGTGGAATCTAAAAAATAAATGAACAAACGAAACAGAAACAAACTCATACATACAGAGAACAAATTGATGGTTGCCAGATGGGAGGTGGGTGGGTGGATGGGTGAAAAAGGTGAAGGAATTAAGAAGTACTAATTGGCAGTTATAAAACAGTCATGGGGATGTAAGTACAGCATAGAGAATATAGTGAATAATATTATAACCATGGTTAGTGTCAGATGAATACTAGACTAAGCAGGTTGATCACTTTGTAAGTTATATAAATATCTAGTCACTATGTTGTACACCAGAAATTAATATAATATTAAATGTCAACTGTAATTGAAAAATAAAATAAAATTACTTCCCCAGGCACCCAATAAGGATGAATAATCTCATACTAGTGCTTCTTGAGCATGTTCAATCCTTCAGGTCCAGTTCAATGGCACCTGAGAACAATGATATACTGAGCACTGTGCAAAATAACCAAAGACTTTGTCTCAGGCACATCCATACCCCATAATGGGCTTGAAAGTTTCAAGAGGAAAACAGACAATGCATCACTATCATGTCTCTTATTTTATTGTATTTATGTTTGGGAAGATTGTTATGGGGACATAGAAAAGAGATGAACTAACTATCTGGAAAACTAGGGGAAAAATTCAAACAGAAGGTAAATTTAGTCTGATATATATAGCAACCAACTTATAGGGCAGTTGGGAGGTTTCAATAAGATGTATAAAGTGAAATTAAAATCTTTAATTGCAATGCATTCAAAAGAGGTAGTAGTATGTAGTAATTTCAACATAAGAGGAAAACATAATGCAAAGCACAACTCAGTAAAGTAATTGGGGTTCAGGGGGATGGTGGAAAAGACAATGGCTCCCTGGAATATTTCAGAAACAAAATCCGGAACATGTAAGAGATTTAACAGATACTTGTCCTTCAAAAACCTATGTTTTGTAAGGTTAAACAATATCTGAGAATCTTAACCATTGTTCTCTCTACCATTTGCTCCTAACAATTTTAATAGTCCAAAAGAATACTGTGCTGTATTTTTGTACTAAATTTTTTGCAGGTACCTCCTAAGCGATAAGATCTATGCAAGCCTAAAAATGCAATTCAAAACTGATTCACATTTATATTTAATAGTACTTTCAAACACTAAATAGCTCTTCAGACATCAAAACCACATTCATATAGAAGTAATTTTGCAAAAATCTCTCCATGGTTCTTCTAACACTAGTCTCCCCTCATACTCATGTCACCAATACCAAAGTTCCCAAAGAGGTTCTCACCTGACCAAGCTCTTCATTAAGGTTTGACGTCCTGGCCATAGCAGGAGTGTCATTTTCAATATAATACATATCTGTGTCCTGAGAGAGAGAAGAGTGGCCCTTCAGAAAATGTATAACATTAATCCTTCATTTAGATTAAAAATAGATACTATAAGTGCTAATTTTTAATTTTGGGTTAAAAATACCGTGGCAATTATTATAGAGAAGCACTGTGATACCAGGAGAAAACATGGTATTTGTATACAGAAGATTTGGTTTCAAGATGAGCATTTCATGACCTAGACTAACTCATATTCTAAGCTCAGCTAATACCCAATTTATAGGATTATTATGAGGATCAAATAAAAATGTACACAACCTCCTCTACTCTTTTCAAATATCTGGTGACAGGAGACTTGACTTTGAACGATAGGCACACAATGCAATACACAGATGATGTGTTATAGAACTGTACACTTGAAACCTATATAATTTTATTAACCAATGTCACTCCAGTAAATTTAATAAAAATTTAAAAAATAATAATGAAAAATTTTAAAATGTCCATGAAAGCACCTGAGCTGCATATACAGGCTGCTGAAGTCAAGAGCTTAATGACAATGACAGTTCCTTAAAAATTCCGCTTCTGCCCTAGCTGGTTTGGCTTAGTGGATAGAGAGTCGGCCCATGTCGGCCATGGACTGAAGGGTCCCAGGTTAGATTCTGGGCAAGGGTAATGTATCTCAGTTGCAGGTTCGACCCCTGGCCCTGGTCAGGGTGCATGCAGGAGGCAACCAATTGATGTGTCTCTCTCATATCGATGTTTCGCTCTCTGTCTCTCCCCTCCTTTCCACTCTCTCTAAAAATCAATGGAAAAATATCCTCTGGTGAGGATTAACAACAATAAATAAATAAATAAATAAATAAATAAATCCACTTCCATGCTTAACAATGGAATCCAAGTTTACTGTCACCATGAGTTTTGATATTTAATAAACACTGATATAGAAACACCTAAGAGGCCTTTCCTCAGCACTAATGAAACTTAAAAACATAAACAGTTATAGCCACTTCATCCCTGCTCACCAGAGGACAAGCATTTGTAAAGCACTCTGCCTCCATTTTCTCACTTAATTCTTACAAGAACCCTTTGAATAGGTTCAAATGCCCCACCCCCATTTCATTGATGGGGAGCTGAGATGTTAGGTAACTAGTCACTGCTATCACTGGTTCAGGGACACCTTTGCCAGAGATCCCTGGCCAAATCATATTCATAAATTAGTTATATTATTCTTTTCTGGAAGCTCAAGTGAATGGCTAAGGTTCTGAGAGAGTATTAGAAATTGTGGTTGACATTTCTACAGTAGCTCAACTTTACAACTCTGCTGTGATACTCACCCAGTTTATAAAAAGGGCTTGAGTGTATTTCACAACCTCAAGAGTCACCAGCAGACTGATGGGGATAAGGTTGTTGTACAAGATGATGAATGTCAACAAGTTATATCCAAAATTATCTGAGTTTGTCTCTGTGGAAGAAAACCAGAATATCTGTATAACTTTAGTTAGTCTCCACTAAGTTTCCTTTTATTTTATTATTTTGAAATTTCTCTAAAAGATACTCACACAAAAAAATTATTGGATTATGTGTACATTTAGACATTGGTGTTAAAATAGTTATTGAGATTGGGGGGATGAGGGGACATTGGGGGGATAAGGACACATTTGTAATATTTTATTCAATAAAGGGAAAAAATAGTTATTGAGCACCTGCTACATGGCACCAACTGTGAATACAAAGGCTACTAATATACAATCCTTTCCAATAAAGAACTGGCTTCTAATAGGAGGTTGTGGGTAGGAGAGTAAGCAGAAGCAGGCATGTCCCCCAATGTGACTGGCATCAGGTTACATCTGTTAAAGAGGTGTTCATAGGACATTGCAGAAGTGAGGACAGTCGGAGAAAGATAAATATCACATGATCTCACTCATATGTGGGATATGATGATCAACATAATTTGATGAACAAGAATAGATCCAGAGACAAATGGCAGGGGAGGGGGAGGAGAGTTAGAGAGCAACCAAAGGACTTGTATGCATGCATATTAGCATAACCAATGGACACAGACAATGGGGCGGTGGGGGCAGGGCTGGGGGAGGGGGTCAATTGGGGAAAAAGGAGACATAGGTAAAACTTTAGACAATAATAAAAAAAGACAATATAATTATATATTTTTATCCTTTCTTTTGGATTTAAAAACATGATGGCAAAAAATCATTAAAAATTACATTGGTGGACTTTTTTTATAAAGATGTAATATATATGAGAGCACAAAGGAGTGAGGAGAGAATGAAGCTACATGAAGCAAAGAAATAACATACGCTGCTAACTCAAATCCACAGGAAGAAATGAAGTAAATAGGTTAATGTAAAATAACTGCAGAAGTTTATTTCTTTTTTTTGCTTTTTGCTTCTTTAAAAGGCATAAGATTATATAAGTCAATAATTACAACACCATAATTGGGTTGATAGGTAGATGCAATATATGACAAAAATAGCATAAAGCAGGGGAGGAGACGGATCTATATTAAAGGAAATTTTCTGTATTGTACTGGAATTATATTAGTACTAATCTGAAGTAGATGCTAATAAATTAAGACATACATTATAATCCCTAGAACAGTGATGGTGAACCTATGACATGCGTGTCAGAGGTGACACACGAACTCATTTTGGGTGACAAGCATCGACAGAGACAAAAAATTGCATAATTCAAATATTTGTCTCTCGCAACGGCCAGAGTTGGGCATC